CACAGTTATCTTAGTGACGTTCGATTCTGGAGTATACAAGACCGCCGGATGCTGCCGAACCCCTATGTCTGACCTAACGCCAACTGGTAGACCGTCGTAATGAAAGCAGCATCTGTCACATGAGATTCGTGAAGGCGACTTGGTAGACAAGCTCTTCTTTTGTCGACGGAGTGTGTGATCGAGCAACGTGAAATGGCACGTCCTGGTTGCATTGCTAACCAGAACGGTGAATGTACGCAAAGCACGGCAATTTCAGACCCAGCTTCGTTTAGAAGAAGGAAAGAGACACCACTAGCAAGCATCTATTCAACTCAGAACCCTTGATTTTGTCTCGGATAGGCCGGAACAACTTGCGCGACCGTGTATGCTCTCGGCAAGTTAGTTTTGTGTCCGGCTACCCCTCCTCGTCATCATCACCATCATGATCTTTATCGATTAGCTTAAATTACCGAGCTGTGGTCGCTTGAGTTTATGTGGATGAGCTAATTCGTCTTTTATGCATTTACATATAGTTGTTACCGCGTTATTTGACCCATATGTGATTAAACTCACGGCTCCTGGTGGGAACTCGTAGCTCAGGTGGCTGGAGCGCTGGTTATTCTTAAAAGTCCCCCTTGCTGTCGTGGGTTCGAAGCCCACCGAGGCAGCCGATTTTTGTTATGATTAGGTCAAACGCTTTTATCAACTTCGGCCATTGACTGTTCATTTCGTAAACTTAGTATGAAGTTAAAACGTTTTACTTACACTATATAAGTAGCAAATATGTTTTTTTATTTATTATTAGCTCGTCCTGTTCATCGGCAGTTTAAACACCATCGCCCCCATCGTCTCCATTTTCTTCTTGTTGGCATACGCTTCCATCAACCTTGCATGTGCCCTCCTGGATACAGCCTCTCCTGCCAATTTCAGGTAGCCATTCCCTCAGCCCTAATTGACGTTTATTGCCATATCTTCTCACCAAATTTTCCAGAGACTTAAATAAGTCAACATCAAATTCAGATGTAACCTCTCAAGCATGCCTAGATTCGCCTTAATTATGTGTGATGCAATCTGGAAATCTCATACAAGGGTACAGCATTATAATTCGAAAATTAAGACGGTCCCGCGGTTTTGGCTTACAAGAAAGTTCATTCGGAGTATGATCAGTTAGCCTGTGCACATGGGCGTTTAGGTGACGAAATCGAAAGTGTGAGGGATATAC